GATGAGAAGGTTAGTTCGAACAATGTAAATAGTGTATATAATATCTCATCTCAGAAATATAGACAGATGCCAAAAGTTATTCCTTAGTCAGGATTATAGTTGAATTCAAAAATAGAATTCGCAATAGAATCTTGAGTAATTACAGTTCCTACATTATTTGGCATATTTTAAAAAAACATATTCCAATATTTCCTTATATTGTTGTTTCTGGTATTCCTGCTGCTGTTGTTGTTTTAAACACATTTCCTGCGTTTGTTTCATGATTTGATGTTGCTATTTTAATAATTCCAGCATAACAGTTTTAAATTCTTCCATACTGACAGAAGTTTTTTTTTCAAGTCGAAAGAAAGAAAATAAATCCACTCTACCTTTTCTTCCAGTGTGCTTTTCGAGTTCTATTCGTTAATTTATTTTTAGTACTTTCTAAAAAAAAAAAAAAAAAAAAAAAAACGAATTCGTTTAACAAGTTTATTTCCTTTTGGTACAGGGAAACATAATGTAGAATAAAAACTAGGGAAGAGAATGCTTAGCCGTAAATGACTAAGTGTTTTTCAGCAAAGGCTACTACAGGTATTAACCAAAGCCTCCCCATAATCAAGATGTGACACAAGTCTTACTTTTATGTGGGGTGATTCTGAGCTCGGGGAAAATTCCCCGTAGAACCCCCCCCCCCGCATACAGATGAGATTCTGCTACTCCTCTTGATGTAGGATTATTTTCTTGTCTTTTGTCCGACTGTCGACTCCAAACTTGTAGGGAAATATTCTTCCACACAATAATATCGTTATCATATATATATATATATATATATATATATATATATTGACAAGTTATTTTCTGGTGAATATAAGATTGATAACTGAATAAGATTCTTCCGACTTCTACTAGTTTAAATTAACCATAGAATTATCCCTATTACGCTTTTAAATATTTGAGCTTAACAACTTCAACACATATTGGAATATCAGAGGCAAATATGAATTATTTAAAAGAAAATCAGAAAGTACAAATGAAAAATAGAAAAGTACATTTCCTTTTTTATTTCACTGACGCAGGCGTTAAACACATGAGAGCCTTATTGCTTCCTCTATCTTCCCTCTCTCTCTCTCTCTCTATATATATATATATATATATATATATATATATATATCTTTTTTTTTAGTAAAACCAAACAACGTCCCTAATATGTCTTTTCCGTATTTCCTCCCGATCGAAACTATATATTATATATAAGGTATTGGCGAGGTAAGAATAAACTAATGTAAGATGGAGGAAGGGATAATTATATATATATATATATATATATATATATATATATATATATATATATATATAAATTATAAATATAAATATTAATTATATATAGGAATATGCATGGCAGAGAACACAATATATGAAGCAACAATTTTCCCCAAAGAAAAGGTTGAAGAGAAAAAGATATACATTGGAATATCAGCGGGAGATTGGAAACACCGACTATACAACCATCGCCAATCCTTCAAAAATAAATGGAAAAAAACCCAAACAACACTATCAAATCATTATTGGTTTTTGTTGGAGAGTGGCCTAACACCACAAATAAAGTGGAGAATAATATCAAGAGCCAGAACTCCCTAAAACTTCAGAGACAGATGCAACTTATGTTTGAGGGAGAAAATCTTCATAATCAAGCATAAAGATCCAGACATACTACTAAATAGACACAATGAACTAGTTTTTAAATGCCGGCACAAAAACAACCTAAACCTAAGCAAGTACACTAAGAAATAATCATATAGGAACAGCAATTTTGTATGTTTTATATTCCCTTTGTTTTTAGAAATATTACTATGCACACGTGGACGCTAACACATGACTATATGTATACAGCTATGATAATGTGTTTGCACACTGAGACACATGTTGATATGTACTTGTATATGTTTTTATACGGAAAAAGAAGCATACCGGTTGTTTTTTTGGGGGGGTTTTTTTTTGTGAGTGTGGAGATGTACAATTAGATAGGTACTTATATATTTTGCCATAAATATGAAAGATCGGGTAATATTATATGTGTAAAGATATAGATAATGTAATTAAATACTGAGTCTTCGAACGCAGGCATAAGTGGATGCACGGGTGGACATGAGGATAGGGACAAATACGTGGGTAGATATTTGTAAGTGCAAATTAACGCATATGTGGGTATGTAGATATTCTGCATATTGCGTATATGTGTGTGTATGTATATGTATGTATGTATGCAGATGTGGGTGTGTGTATGTATATGTGTATACGTATGGATGTGTAAATATATATATATGTGCGTATGAATATATATGGATATGCAGATGTCCATGTGTGTATATGTATATATGTAAGTATAAGTATACATGGAGATAGGTATGGAGACATGTGGATGTGCGTTTTCTCTGCAGGTGTACATGTGTAAAGATGGAAATATACATATATCGTTTCGTGTGAATGTGTGTGTAGGTGTATATAGGAACTCATAGGCATATAAGACGATATAAGTATGTGGTTACAAATAGGGGTTTAAGATATGTGTAGATAAGAAATTTTAAAAGAAGGACCTAATTTTCTGCTAGTGACATCTCTTCCAAATTTCTCCTCTAATATTCTCCAATTGGAAGTGAATTTTAAATAGCACGAAGGGAAAGTTTTAGATTAGTATTTTAATTGAGATTGAAAGATACTACCCCAGTGTGGAGAATAAAATTATTTAAATGGGAATAACTGTTGATAACTGGATACATAAAAACAACCACGAGTTTACTTAATGAACAAAAATCAAAAACAATCACGAGTTTACTTAATGAACAAAAATCAAACGAATAAATGCCAACCTAACAAGCTATAAGATAAAAGTTTTAGTGGAAAAAAAGTACTAAATATAAATTGGATTACTCTTTCAATGTTCTGTCTATGGGTTTTCCAATTGACTGCTTCATAGAAAATACCCAAAACTCCACCGAATTTCAAATTAATTTCTTCGTAGATTGTTTGAAAATTTAGATATTTATCAAACCTTAATCTCCCAAATATGCACGTTAAAGTAACGCGAACTGACAGCGTCTAAGAATTTGAATGAAACCTGTCGTGTAATTTATTGGGGTTGTTGTAACGTCCCCTTTAATGTAGTTCTTATCGCTCACCCCTTAACCACCTTTATCTAGAGACGAGACGTGTTAAATTTGAGCAACATCCAGCCGACACACTGGGGTTAAAATAGGAAACTAAAATGATACATATGACACACTCATATCCTCTCTCCCACCTCACTTCCCCACTTCGTTAACTTTGCGTATACTTGATGAGGTCCGTAAAAAACGTGTGAATTTCTTTTCATTTTTCATTTCATCTTTTCCAGAACCCTGTTAAAGGGGTTATGGTGAAATAGCTTATTACATGGAATCTTAACGTGGTCTGTCTTTTATTCAAAAATATATATCTATATCTATATATATATATATATATATATATATATATATATATATATATATATATATATATGTACTTCCCCTACGTTAGTGACTGAATTACTTTCTAACTAGGTGATTCGCCGTAGTAAGCTTCTGCCATGCTAAGTCGAGAAGAGAAAAGTCTGTATGAAATGGATTCGACTACAGAAGTGTGTAAGTCAGTTCAATATCAAAGTTATGCGTCATATTTGTGAGAGTATTATCTGTTCAATTTCCTTCTATGTTGTTCAGGCCCTTTGCTTAAAATCAAACCGTTCTAGCCACCAGACATCAAAACAAATGCGTTCAACACTCTACTTTGTGACGTCAATAAATTTACACCTTATGACCTGAAGGCGATTGGACGTCATTGATCAAATATCGTATAAGTGTAATCGGTTCTCGGGTCGAAGGGCTAAATGTTGAATATCTATAGTATGAAAATAATGACTGTCGTTTAGTTCTATGGTTTTCTATTTTATTTTATTTTTTTTTTCTCTTCATTTGCTGGACACAATTTTATGTATCAAAGAGTCTTTATTCATTTTTCGTTATTTCAAAAGATCTTTCTCTTTTTTTTCTCTCGTCTTTCGTTCGCTTTCTTTTTCCTTTTTTTTTTTATTTCTTTTTTTCTTTACTATCTGTTATTTTACTCTTTCTTTCTTTCTACTTTATATTTCAGTTCTGCTTTTTACATTCTTTCTTTTATTTTTTTCATTCTTCTTTCTTCCATTCATGCTTTCTTCTTTCTTTCTTTCTTTCTTTATTTATTTTTCTGGCTTCTTTTTATATTTATTTTTCTTGCTTTCATTTTCTTCCATTTTTCATTCATGCTTCTCTTTCCTCATTGTTCTTTCTTTCTTTCTTTTTCTAGTTCTTTTTTCAGCTGCTTCTCTTTACATATTTCGTTCCTTTCCTTCCATTTCTTTAATTCTGCTTTCCTTTTTCACTTTCTCTCACTCTTTCTTTCTTTCTATTTTCCTTTCTTTCTTTCTTTCTTTCTTTCTTTCTTTCGCTCTTTCTTTCTTTCGATTTTTCTTTCTTTCTTTCTACTTCTTTATTGTTCTTTTCTTTTTTCAGTTTTTCATCGTTTTCTTCCTTTTCTTTTATTTCCTTTCATTTATCCTCATTCCTTCTCTCTCTTTGTTTCTTTATTTCTACTTCTTTTTTTTCTTCTTTTTACGTTACTGCTTTCTTTCTTTGCTTTTTTTTCTTATTTTCTTTCTTTCTTTGCTTTTACTCACCCATTCTTCCTTTCATTCTTCTAAGAGAATTTTTTTTTATATACTCGAAATTTTTATTCTTTGTCAATTATCTCATCAGATTTTCTTTATTTTCAACGTTTCTCTAGAATTTTTTAAAATTTATTTCCTTGTTTCTTCATTCTTTGTGTCTTTCATTCATTTATTTTTTCCTTTCGTAATTTCTTTCATTCAGTTACACTTCCTCTCTTTCTTTTTCTGCTTCTATTTCCCTATATTTATCGCGATATTTTAACTTCCTTTGTTTATTACGTTTATCTTTCCATTTCATAAAGCTATGCATTTTTACTACCGTTGTTATGCGTACTTTGTGTCTGTTAGTTTTCTTCTTTCTTTCTTTCATTCTTTTTATCTTTCATTCATTCTTTCTTTCTTTCTTTCCTTCTTTCATTCTTTCTTTCCTTCTTTCTTTCTTTCCTTCTTTCTTTCTTTCCTTCTTTCTTTCATTCTTTCTTTCTATCATTTTATTCTTCACGTTCCTTCTTTCATTTTATTTTTCTTCCATTCTTTCTTTATGTGTGTCTGACATTTTTTGTTGACCTATGCTTGTGCATTGTTTTACGTTGTAGACAGGCTTTGTCTCTCTCCTCTCTCACTCACTCACTCACTCACTCACTCACTCACTCTCTCTGTTGGCCTATATCTTTGTTTTCTGTCCGTAATAGGTGGGTGCTTTCCTTCTCTTTCTTACTGTCATTATTTTTTTCCTTTATTCTTTCTGTCTGATTGCCTGTCTTTTTTCTTTCTTTTTTTTCTTTTCTTTTTTTTTGTAGAATATTCCTTACACTTTCTTTTTTTTTTCTGTTATTCTATTATTCTTTCATTCTATCTTTACCTTTGCTTGTTTGTCTTTTTTCTCTCTAGACTCTTGAAAGAAAAAAAGACTCTATACCTATTTCTTTGAGTCTTTCTTTCTTTCTTTCTTTCTTTCTTTCTTTCTTTCACTTCTTCTCCATCTTTCTCTCATTTTATTTTGTTTTCATTCTTTCTTTTTCACACTCTTTTCTTTTCTTTTCGCATACATCTTTGTTTCCTGTCCTTGCTTTGTGAGCTTTTTCTTTCTTTCTTTCTTTCTTTCTTTCTTTCTTTCTTTCTTTCTTTCTTTCAATATAGGATCCCATTTTTATATCGTGTCCAGTCTTTTCTATTGTCCCTTTTCTTTAAAACTTCGATATTCCTCATATATTAATTTCATTGTATTCTCAGTATCCTTCTGTAGAGCCACAGTCTCTTATTTATCTGTGACGAGATTATCCAGCATTCACTACCATATAGGAGAATTAATACTACGTAAAATTTCAGTAATCTTTTTCTTTCTTTCTCACAAAAATTTCCTGTTTATTAATAGTTTGCTCGACTTTTGGAAGGCATGTTTCTCTGCTGTGGATTTCCTCAGTGAAATGCAGATCTTAGAAAGTGGCTGAGGCTGATATTTTTCAAAATACATTCGTAGAAGAACACCATAATTAGGATATAGTATAGTTGCTATTATCTTCGGTTTCGTCACTACATTCACTTAGTGGATACATGAATACAGAATTAGTTTTGCTTGTTGCTTGACTTATATTTTTTGTTTTGCTATTAAGAATGAGAAATCTAGGATTGTGAAATCCTGCACGGGGATACACAGGCTAAAACCAGTTTCCGTCAGGGACGGCAAGTCAAGTTTGGCCTCTTGAAAATGGTGTTCAACTTTTAGAAGATTGGATTCTAGATCCCCTTGTATTGGTGTAGGAGATGCTGACCCTTTGAAACACTTAGTTTTTTGGGGTTTTTTTCGGTTTGTGATTGTATCTTTGACATAATGATACTTTGAAACGGGTGAAGAGGAGGTAGTGAAGAAGTTCCACTCACAAGGGGTACATGAATCAATTAGATAGGTTAAATTGTCCGCAAATACATCCATAAGTGTCCTCTTCATTATGCAGTCGAGAGTCACTACAGGAAATGCCTACCCAAAATGGCAGCACAATAGCCATACTGTTATATACACCTGCTGATAGGATAGCCTCCTCAGGAATTACACTGAGGTCCCGATCCCTTACTATCAAGCGGTTAACGCCAAACCAGAAGATGTTTACCTGAGGCACTCTTAATTAAGAGACGACTAATGACAGAGATGTGATGTAGACATACTATCCGGTGTGAACGAGAATTCAAAGCAATCGAAATTATCATTGTGTCAAAATCCTCGTGACTAATCAGGAGGCACATGTACAGTGATATAATTGTTTATGCATTGCTGGGATTCACGTTTTTTTAACGTTTTAGAAGAAGCATATATCAGACGATAATGCAACAAGCGAGCATTCGTTAAAGTATTATGTAACACTAACTCGACATTCGTTTCTGTTCCGTACGATAGAGCTAGGAATGATTTTGATCACGTATTTTAGGGATAAAATTACAAATAATATTTCCATGAAACAGTGGGTTTATTTTTATTCATATACATATCATATGTCTTTCTTTATATCTGAAGGTCCTGGGTCTGTCGATAAACTACATCAGGCAGAAAGGCTTCTGATAAGGGAATTGGAAGTTTTGAGAATCGTGGAACATACTTTTAGCAGCTGTCGTTCCCAGGTCTACCGGTGTGGTAGCACCTGTTAGGGTCCCAGCTATGGTCAAATAGTGAAATCACAAACAAAATATGATGAAAGTAAAAAAATAATTTTTTGTAGTAAAATTACTGCGCAAAATGTAATAAAGCAACAATTCCTTTTAAAGCATCATGATCAGCAATACATTTTATCTGTAGTTGAAGGAATTCAAAAGATGTTTAGTTGAAGCCATAAAATTGTTCAAATTATTTATATTTCGGCATTGAATAGCCATGGAGTTCGATATGTCGGTAAACAAAATCAAGCAACCAAACAACAAATCAACAAACACGAAAAACTCTTTCAGGATATTAAGCCATATAATATCCTACAATTCCATAATGAAAACAAACTGTATTCCAAAATATAACTTCAACAAAACTACTTAAAACTCGCATAAAACCACCACCTTGTCACTATGCCCATGTAAGCATGGACATGCGCAAAAGCTGAGTATCATCTACCATGTATTCAAATGTGAAAGCAGAATAACATATCATATTATTACTTTAAAAAATTCTAGAAAATTAAATGAACCATAAAAATTTGCTATGAAATTAAACAAACAACAACAGCGATCTTTATATCTGAAACTGACTTTCTAACATAAATTTCACTGATGACAATTTTTCAGGCTATAAATAATTTCAGTTTCCAGCCATTCATAATGGCTTCCTGTTGTCTCAAAGAGTGATTTATAAAGGGATTTCCACGTACCCCTTAGATTCCCCAATTTTTTGTCAGATTTCAGTGGAAAATACATAAATAAAGTTTAAGTATTTGGCAGTCGTTTATTTTATATAATTTATCATTATATTAGGTGCTACTGATGCCATATGACGCAATATTACGTACTTCAAGGTCAGTCCATCAGCTAATAAATCCTTTCCCCCACTAGCCTTTTTCTGATGACGAGTCTAGCTAGACAGTGAGCAACATTAAAAATAAAGGGCATGAATCTTCTTGTAGGTTCAACGTCCATCTAGCAGTGTGAGGTATTCTGGGTTGCATAGCTATGTATGCAGCTAATGTGTTAATGACACGATATCGCTAGGTGGAGGGTTCCCACGGAAGTAACAGCCATTTGTTCGTGACAAAGCTGAGGTTACAAGTTTGATGGCATTGGCTGTGGATTGTCACAGAGAAGTATGGACACCGCCAGGTTTACTTGCTCGAAACAGGCACCGGTTCTTAACCCGGGTATGTGCAAGGAATTGGTCAACAGTTCAGTCACCCTACGACCACGCTCATGGGGTTGATTATTATCATCATTTGATTTGATATCCTCTCTGTCTATTAGACATTTCGGCCGTGTGACGATGATCATAATTCATCTCCTGCATGCAAACACTTTCCTCGGCACAAGGAATACTAAGCTGTGCTGCCACCTGCGCACTCCTAGGTATCCACAGGACGTACTAGGTAGCCGAAACATTCCTGGAATTTGTCTCGAATCCGCCAAGCACGAGAGGATTTAGCTGCGGCTTGGTATATTTATCTTATTTTCCCTTCCATGTGTTTGTCGCTCTCTCCTCCTCCCTCACCATAATCATATTTCAAGGTGCCGCCACGTCTGTCAGGATCCATTTATAAGTGTGATTTCAGGGCGATTGTCCTCCAAGCGCTTGTCAATCAAGCTAGTCGTATCCCACATGATCTTCACTTTCCCATTCTCGATGACTGACGGTGGTTAATGCTCATATCACTTCTCTACGCACTTCAGGTCATACCTGTAAAGTTCTCTATCTATTCTGAAGGCTATTTTTGTCATAACATCTTTTGTACTCTTTTTGCGCCGGTTGGGTGTAGCCACTGAGATAAGGCTGTAAACTTTCAGCAGCTTTCCTACACAGCTTTCACATGAGTAAATAAGCTGTTCCATCAATAGTGTACTTGATGAAATCTTTTCTTAACGCCTGCCGATGCGCATCACATATCATTAGTTTCTTTCTTTAAGAATCCGCTCTTGAACGGCCTCCATGATTTTGGATTTGTTATCTCTAGGATTTCTTATGCAAATACACCATGCAAAATTTTGCATGTGTAGATTTCCTCATCATAAATTATTCTGCTTCTTCTTCTTCTTACTACTACTATTATTATTATTATTATTATTATTATTATTATTATATTTCCTTTGATTTCTGGTATCTACTCATTTATTTCCGGGTCTCGACCAGAGACCTAAGGTTAGAAATTGCATCATGACATTTTTTACTGTCCAATTAAAAACACACACAAACATTTTACGCATATAAAGTCCTTCGTAAGATGTGGGCTGTATTTGTGATAACATTTTGTTTTATTTATTTAAGGCATGGGCTACCAGGAATCCCTCTAACGAGTCTATTGGAATCTTTTCCTATTAATACGAGGGCTCCAACTACAACTGGAATCGGTGATGTCCTCATGTGCCAAATTTGTGACATTTCAATATCAAGGTCCTTGTATTTTGATAGCTTTTTGAAGATTTTCAAAGATACATTGCAGTCTGCAAGGATTGCCATATCAATGAAGAGACAGTTTTTTGTTTGTGGTTTCTAATAACGATATCTAGGCGATTAGCTTTGATTGTTCGATCTGTCTGTATTGAGAAGTCACATACAATTGTTACAAGTCCTGAGATTATTATTATTATTATTATTATTATTTCTTTTGATTTCTGTTGTATACATATATCCTTCTGGGTTCCCACCAGAGACCTAAGTACAAAAATGGTTTCATGATATTTTCCACTGATCATTTTAATAAAAAAAATACTTCATATGTACACATTTTACATAGCTAAAGCACTTCGTAATATATGAGCTGTAATTGTGAGTACAATTCTTTGTATTTCTTAAAGGCACAGATTACCAGGAATCGCTTCAGTAAGTCTAGTGGACCATTTTCCAATCAATACTAAGGCTCTAACGACAACTAAAATAATTGATGCCACATTTGTTTAGATTTCCACTTCAAGATCCTTGTATTTTGATAGTTTTTTTAAGATCTTCAAATATACATTAAGATTTAAATGTACTGCCATGTCAATATAAAAGCACATTATCTTCTCAGTCTTCTTCTTATTATTATTATTATCATTATTATTATTATTATTATTATTTATAAGTGACATGGGATAATATTCGATAAAGTTATAAAATACAATTTTATGAATACCAAGATTAATTTAGCAGCATCGTCATCATCATTATCCCCTTGACTTTCGTAGGGCAGATCCGAATGCAGAAGTCACACTGAATCTCCTCCACAACGGACTATCAAAGTTAGACATCACTAATTCTGTTTTAGTCATAATTGTCCATTGTTTGACATTGTCCAACCATTTTTTTGCGTTGGCGTCGTCTTCTACGTCTAACTTCGACAGTGCCTTGCAAGATGGTCTTGCACAGGCTGTCGTGCCTTGTAACGCGTCCAAACCACACCATTTTTCTCCGTTTGACAGTGGCGAGAAGAGGTCCCTAGTGGCCACAAAACGTTCAAACTTTTCCGCACAAACTCATTGATTTTATGTTCCCAGTATAAGATGCCAAGGATTTTTCTCATGCATTTGTTCTCAAGCATTACTTACTTCCCTATATAT